TATGAGATCATGGCAAAATCTCTAGAGCATTCGTTATGCACCAGGCACGCGCACGGCCGTTATAACGCGCAAAACCGTCGTTAACAGCGGAAATGTGGGGGTATAATCTAACTTTTAATGCCTCTAGTACACGCCGAAGAGATGACAGTTCATAGAAGCAGGCTTCACTGGCATCTCTGTGTACTAAGTGTTATCAGTCTAGGTCTAGTTCATAGTCGCAAGAACCACTAGATACAATGATTATACCCATGTGTGTAACTCTGGCTCTTTATTTGACACATGTGGGGGATTGTTGTGAAATAATGCAATATGTGTGTCAAATAAAGTCCCACATGGGAAAGATGAGAAGAAGTCTAAGTGTATAAATGAGATCAAGCATCCTTGGGGGGGTAAATGGGCCAAGAGGGAAGTGGGCCTCGCGCACATAACAACGGGCCACCAGGAGGGAAACGCAGTTGTAAACCGGCGATTTCCCCCCTGCGCGTGAATTAAACTCGGCAAAGCCTCATTTTACGAAAATTATTTTAAACTTTGTTGAATATTTTTTTAATAAAATTATGCTTACCAGAAAAGCCTTATTTTGGACTTGTTAAAAGTCAAGAGGCTTGCCGTATCATTTTGTGGCCGACCGGACGCGTCTCGCGGGGTGTACACGAACGTTGTGTGCACCAACGTTCGTGTTGTTCCGTCTCCAACAGAACCTTGCGTTGCTTCGGTCGTACCCGCTCTGCGAAACAGAAGGATGCGTCCTCCGGTGATGTGGCCATTCGCGCCTATATAAGGGACTGTCCAGACAGCGTGATAAACACACTGTTCCATCCTCTTCCTCTTCTCTCCTGCTGTGTTTCCTGTTACAATTGCTTTCGCTGTTCTGCTGCCTTGCTTCGCAGGAAGGGTTCGTTTGATCCTGGAGAGTGCCGCTGCCTGTTACACCGAGGGGTTGCGGAATATCTCTCAAGGACAGTGTCCTTGTGACGCGACTCGAACCGGATTTGCTGTTCCTCCTTTGCTGCCGCCAACAAATTGTACTAAAAAAAATAAATGGTGGGTAAAATTGCACTGAAAAAAAGATTCAGGTGGTGGGTGCTCCTAAAAAAAAAGATTGGGGTGTTGGGTGCCCCTTTACCTTTTATTCAATGAAATAATGATTTTTAATAGTAATATACTCCTCTGGTTCTTAATATAAGACTTATTTAACTAATTTAATTAGATTAAGAAAATTAGGTAAACTAGTTAATTATAAGAAATATGACATGTTTTTCCTAAAACACCATATTTATCTTCCTTAATATTCCTCTCCCCTTCTACTTGATTATACTTGATTATGGTTGAGGGAGTATCTATAAATATAATTTAAGAAAATATAATAAATGTGAGAAATATGTCTTATATTTAAGACCAAAATTAACTCAATAATTAGGTTTTATATTAAAGACTGAAAGAGTACAACCATACATAGTAAATTTAGTAAAGAAAGAAAAGCATACATAATAAAATGTTAACATGTAACTCTACCATAGTCATTGGCAGTTTGGATTAAGTAGAAGGAGTTTAATACTCCTTTAAATAAGGTTATTTGTTTGAGCACTATGAATAAAAAAAATTCATAATTAAGAAAAATTAGCTATTTGGACGTAATAATATTTAAATTTGTTAGCATCACAGATAGTTGTGTAAACAAATTATGCTTGAGAGCTTTTATTGCATTAATAATAGTTAAAGGAAAAAAAGGATTGAGTCAAATCTCTCGCTGAGTCCCTTTTTTTTTTTTTAAAAAAAAAAAAACTAAATATTGTTATGTAGTCCAATGTTTTTTTTTTTTTTTAAATGAAATTTGTGTAACACTTCCGCATGTAATAAATGTTTAATCCTCCAAATATAAGACTTTGGCGTACGGGACACTACAAAAACATCGATATAACCAATTTTAGGCTTTCCCAGATTAATTACATTTCATGAGATGATTCCAGCAGATTTACTTATGAAATTAAACTGTTATGGTCACTGCTCATATAGTCTTGAACAAAATGATATCTAATTTCAAACTTCATACATTGCATAATGAATTTAACTTTGTTTCTGTCTATGTTTTATAGCCGGTTCCAAGGACGAATAAAAGAGAAGGGAGGGTTGTATTATGTTTTTGACACAAGAACATAAAACTCTGTCGAATATCTTATATGAATATGAAATGCACGGGGTTTGAGATCTAGTTGAGGTATATATTTAATAAGAAGTCTTAGAGAATGGAGCAAAAACTAGTAGGGTAAGGGTCATGAACTACATGACAAGAGGAGATAGGGTATGGTGGGTAGTGATGAGTAGTGGGACAATAAGGTGGAACCTTATTGTCATAATCCTCTTCCTTGTTATTCTTGTCCTCTTTGCTCTCTTGTTTCAGCTGTTGAACACTCAATATGCTTGCATGGCGGAACTTCTTTCTGAGAAGCCTCGCCAAACAAACCGGGTCGACATCATCTCCGACCACCACCACCTGGTCTCTGTCTCTGCCTTCTATGGACACCGAACTCACACCTATATGGCAACAAGTACCAAACATTATTCGCTCTCATTCTCTCACTATTGTAGAAAAATCCCTTTACACCGGTTAATACCGATTCTTCAACCCATGATCATCATCGATCCATGACATGCACATTATTATTCAAGTCACGACATTAATTAACTGCCACACAATATATTAGTAATTAAGTTGATGGCATGCATATATATGTACGTACCTTTAGCTGCGGCTGCAATTGTGAGGGCCTTGCTTCTGCATTTGTTACAGTCTAATGTCGCTTTGATCACTATTTTTTGCTGCATCATCAGTACCAAGCATAGATAGTGCATTTCATTTTAACATATATGTGTATATATATATAGAGAGAGAGAGGGGTAGGGAGGGAGGGAGGGAGGGAGCGAATTTCAAAGCATGCATTATCAGAATAATAGTTGGTATAATTAACTATTCTATCTGCATTAGAACAAGACTCATCTTACCTTCATGCTTGATTTTTCATATGCTTCTGTGCGCTTTCAGGCTCTGCAAGTATGATCGAATGTGATGAGGCGATAATGATGCTGAATTCATTTCGTCTCTCTCTCTCTCTCTCTATAGTTATATATATATATATATATATATATATAGAGTGTGTCCGTGAAGGAAGTGGGATTTGTTTTATATTACCTCCGGTCCTAATTATAAGACCCAGTTAATTAATTTGGAAAGATTAAGAAACTTAGTTAAATTAGTTATTTCTAATGAATATGTGTTGTTTTTCCTGAAATATCCTTATTAATTAAGTTTGTTATCTAGAACTACTATTATTAAAGGATTATCTTGGAAAAAAAATAGATAAATATGAGAGATAAAGTAGATTGAGATCTTACATTTAGAACTAAAATAAAAGGCAAACAAGGTTTTATATTAAAGATCATAGACAATATATTATATCAAAAAGATTAAAAGTCTTTATGATACTTTAAGTTAATATATATATCCTATTTTCTAAGGCTACAACTTAATACACACACACGTTTATTTTTATTTTTTAATACAATGACTATGGCAAACCCATAAAAGGAAAAAATATTGGGCATATTATATTAGCCAACAACAAATTAATGCAACAAGGAGTCTGCTCGGTGTTCACAGTGTCACAACAATGCAATAGCTGTATATATGGACAATTAAGAAAAAATATGATTACCACAAGTTACATTAAAATCAGTTTCTGGTCAATTCCTACTATTTCTTTCATATTTTTGGTGGGGTCCAGGATTCGCACTTCAACTGTAAGGGCATATGAATCATTAATTATTGGCGACTAACATTCTTAATTACAGCTAATCATTGATTAATAATTTTGCTTTTAAAGTCGCTCATTACTATAAGTAATTTTTCTATTATTAGATTACACTAATTACATGAGGAGCAAGTTGCGCCTGGTTGCTTTGCTGGATTTGATTAATTTACAAATGTGGATCATTAGTCAGACTGCTTCATAAATTAAAAGTTTTGGTAATCTCCATGTCAAATTATTTGGTTAGTGAAAATAGAAATGAAATGAAAAATGCAATAATTATATAAATGAGAGATATCTGCGAATGTCTAGCTGAGAAATAGTTTATCTAGAAACTTTAATTTTTATCTTGATGAATAATTATTGATACTGTAAAAAAACCAACATATATCAAGCAATTTTAAGTACATTCAGATTCCACAACAGAATGATGTTATTTTCTATTTCATGTTATTGAATTGACTTAATTAATTCAACTTCTTATGACGAATGCATTGAATTTAAATTGGAATTTAAGCTAACTTCATAAATCTTAAAAAGTTAATGAATAACTTGGAATTTACGATCATTAAATTCAATGGATCATTCAGCATATCAGCTCACAAGTAAAAGTTTTTTTTTTGGTCACTAATATTGCTAACATTTAAGTTGTAATTATAAATCTATTATTCAAATGTTGATCAGAAAGATCAATAGTTCATTGCCTGATCCCATCAGGTCCCAGTAAAGAGGATAGTGTGGCTAAGTTACTAAACTAGCGAAAGAGGAAACTAAGAATAAGGTTGAGTTCAGCATGAATTTATTCATAATAACTAATTTATATTACCAAAAAAAACTAATTTATAAATATTAAAAAATTAATTAAATTAGTTATTTATAATTAATGTGTATCTATTTTTATAAACTACTCTATTTAATTATTTGTATTGAAAAGTGGAACCTATTCTCATTGGTGAAAACTTTCAATTGTTATATGTAATTAACAGAGGTAGTTTGAGATTAGAAGGCAAAATGATTGAGGCATTGTTTCGGACTAAAACAGACTCCTCAACTATTTTTCTTTAAAAGTAAACATTTTGACATATGGAATCACATTTTTTTCCTCGTTCATATGGGTCCACCCAAAAATAAGACCCACATCGCCCTTTGATTTCTTTCTTTTCATTCAACACCAAGTACTTTAGAGTTTAGAAATCCAAGTTAACATCAAATTGCACAGCTTCACAGTGCAGCTAGTAGCTGCAGGCCAACAAAAGAACCTAAGGTTACGTTTGGTAGAAAGCATTGAAAATGAAGGATTGGGATTGGGATTACAATTGAAAAAATCTATTAAGAGAGTGTTTAGTATAAGAGATTGTTTGATATATGGGATTAGTCAAAGCCATGTATGTGGGATTAGAGAATACCATGGGAGGAAGTGGTATTCCCCAATCCCACCTTTATGGGCATACCTAATCCCATATAACAAACAATTATTCATACTAAGTACTATTTTAATGATTTTTTCAATTGCAATCCCAATCCCAATCCTTCATTTTCAATGCTTCGTACCAAACGGGACCTAAAAGATAACCAACAAAGCCACAAAACAAAGGTTTAGCAACCAGAACCACAAATTGAGAGGCTTCATTTCCAACTCTAGGACCAACCGGCATAGTAGGGCCTAAGGGTATCAGTTCCAAGATGCACAACATTACTGGATTCAGGCCATGAGCGTCTCTGCAAGTCAGAACTAATTCCATGAACATATTCAGAAAAAAATCTCCCCCCCAATCATATCCATATTTCTAACATGTCCTGTTGGTGGATAACTAAACTCAGTTGATTTAGGTCGTGATGATCTGTGTAAGTCAGAGCTGATTCCATGAACATAACCAGAAACTTGTTTCCCCAGAATCATATCCATATTCATAACATAATCTGTTTGTGGATGCCCAAACACAGTTGATTCAGACCGCAATGATCTCTGCAAATCACAACTGGTTCCACCAACACCACCAGCTCTTCCCAGAAAATCTATTCCACCGTTTAAGTAGCCTCCTCTTCCTTCTAACATTGGAAGGTGTCTTCCCCCTATCGTATCCATATTTCTAACATGTCCTGTTGGTGGATAACTAAACTCAGTTGATTTAGGTCGTGATGATCTGTGTAAGTCAGAACTGATTCCATGAACATAACCAGAAACTTGTTTCCCAGAATCATATCCATATTCATAACATAATCTGTTTGTGGATGCCCAAACACAGTTGATTCAGACCGCAATGATCTCTGCAAATCACAACTGGTTCCACCAACATCACCACTCTTCCCAGAATCTATTCCACCGTTTAAGTAGCCTCCTCCTCCTTCTAACATTGGAAGGTGTCCATTTCTGCAACTAATTGCTGACGGTGGTGAGTGAGGATTGAGGCTTATCAGAGGGTAGTGATGATTACTCAGAATTGTTTGGCTTGTGGGGTAGAAGTCATTCTTTGTTAACAAGGCAAACTTGAACGTGCTGCACTTACCGAGGGGGAAAGGCTCATCACACCTGGTCCCGTCACCTCGCTTGTTATTATAACCCGGGTAATCTTCTTTCCTGAATTCCATACACCCAATTGGCCATAGAAAGCTTCGAATCCCAAGTTCCGGTATGCACCAGGCATCAAATGGCGGGTTGGTCTTGTGATTAACATGAATTTCACCATTGGACCTCAGCATGCTACTTGCATTCATAAAGAACCCACGTACAAGGTCCTTGTGTTTCCTGTAAATGCCAAAAAAATGAAAAAAAGAAGGATGCTAAAGCCTTCACATACACAAATTAACTGGAGGAGAATTTGCAATAATTCGCTTAGAATGCCATTACATATTATACAATCATCAATATAAGAATATATCAATCAATATTCACAAGTTATAAATAGTGCAACTTATTCTTTAAACTCGGTGCAATATATAGAAAGATGTGTCAAATTGCATCAATAACAAAACAACTGAAACCAGACAAAAGAGGTTGTGTGCGTATTGAGGGGTGGAGAGATGCATAATTACAAAAATCTGTGGATATAAGGAATATCAAGTTCTATACTAGTAGGGTCAATAATCTTCATAAGCTGTATTGACCAAAACGCCCTTACTTCTTGCTTGATAGACAGATAGAGGTACTTGGAGTTTTTTCCTTCTGAAAAATTATCACATGCATGAGCATTCAAATAATTTCCGCACAGCATAACAACTGCAAGTGTCCAATGAAATGACTGAATCAACCTTGCCCATGCATTGTCTTTTAGTGAAAGCACCAGAGCTTTTTAGCCAGAATAATCAATGTTTGGACGTACAAATAATACAATACATGCAAGTTTCGATGTATATCTGTTTACAGACACATGTCTTTGCATATTTTCTATAGCCAACCATCTTATACATAAGCAGCCAAATGCTAGGAAACCTAAATGGTTCATGTACCAAACCGAATCGGCTTAAACTAAAACGCACAAATGTACAGCAGAATCATTAGATTAATGTATGAGGACCAGATATCAAGATTGCCGCTTATTTTTCTCTGTTGGAAATCAGACTTTGAGCAAGAGAAATTGGCATGTCTGTACAGTCCCTTAGAAAAGCTTAAACACAATACTTATGGAAAGATCCGAGATGATTTTACATTATGCATCTAACACAGTCTTTATATTGTATTACAGACACACAGAGATGTTAGACAATAGTAATATGAATTCTAACAGGGAACTCACTGAATCATGGAGAAGTTGTCTTCTTTGCCATGAAAGCCTGCATGAGGGAAGTTGAATATAATTCTATCAAATCTCCTCATTTCCAAGTATGGATGAAATTTCATTTGGGTTGCATCAACTCCATGCAACACACATGCTCCCATTTTTGTTAAGGCAATCAAATTTGACATCGCCTTCTTGTACTTCCTCACAACTTGATCTTAATGAACAGAAAAAGTAATCAATGACATGACAAACATTCAACACTGTAGTAACAACAATTACGAAAAGCAGAAGAGTAAACCAGATCGATGGAATCCACAGTCCACAAATTAGATAACATGCGCAGAAATAGAAACAATTGATTCAGACAACAAAATCTATGGGATGCTCATAGAAAAATGGAAGAATAGTATATAAACACAAGCACTTCCACAAATCATGAAGAATCAGAAAACCATCTAAGCAAGCAACGATTAAGGCGAGATTTATGTCTGAACTAAGCTTCATTAGAATAACTAAAGAAAGTCAAATATTTAGCTCCTTGACTCCTCCTAGAAACTTTTCGTAGGGTACGCAAAATACAAATGACAATAAAAAAATAAATATATAAAAGGTCAAATGTTAAGATTCCTTATGTACATGGAATTAAAATCACAAACGAGAAACCTTCCGATTATCAATGATCCCTTCAGCGAAATTGCAGGGCATAGCTTGACTTCTTTTGGGTGCTTAGAAAGCAACAAGCGAACAGAAATCAAACTCACTTGATGAACAAATCCATCGTTTTGCAAACTACTAAGGGAAAATAATAGTTATTTCAAGAGGGAAGAGGGTGAAAAATAAACACTTAACGTAGTATTTGTAAGAAGCGTCATCATCAAGCAATCAGAAAAACCCTATGCAGTTTTAGATAACTCCATTATTCAAAATAACAGCTGTCACAAGAAAGGGGAAAATTTTGAAGAAGAAACATTGCACACACAAATGCAAGAGCAGAGTGTGTGTGTGTGTGTGAGAGAGAGAGAGAGAGAGAGAGAGAGAGACCATAGGTGTCAAGGGAAGAAGCAACGATGTTGAAAGCTGAACCAAAGGATTGAGCCAAGCAAAGGGAGAAGGAGAAATCACCCTCACCCACCAACAGTATTTGATGATGTGAAGAATAATATTTGACCCATTTTTCTCCTCCACCATCACTCAAATCGACATGCTTCTGCCTGTTGTTCTGACAGCTCATTTGTAAAGCCATTGCTTCCCCTGCCCCTGTGCCTACAAACTACGAGGTTTCAAGCTTCCTATATGGAAAACGTAACCTTCCAACGTTTAAAAAGGCGGAACAATGCTCTTTTTGAGAGCTATGATGCGAAAATCAGAAGGTAAAATGGGTGGAAACTTCATGATCCATGTCTTCAAGCTTATAGACCCCATGAACTGTTTCAAAATCAAATCATCGACGCATCACATTTTGCTGAAGTGGGGGAGGAATTGAGGAGGAGGGTGCTGAACTTCAGTGTGAAAATGGATGGAAGTGGGTATTAGATTTGAAGCTGGAAATTAATTGGCCGCCAACATTGAAGCTCTTGAATCTCAACGCCAGAGACGCTAGCAAGCTTGGGTGCTCTGCAACTTTCCTTTCCCCATTCTCCGTCGTCCAGCCCTTATGCTTTGATTTTATTTAACGTCATAAAACAGTTCCGGATGCAGCTTAGGTTGGAAGCAATCTTAACTCTTAAGGATGGTTTACACATAAGACTGAAGGGTGCTTGGAAGAACGTAAAATCACTTTCAAAAATACTTCTTCGTACTTATTCTCCTCGTACTTATTTTGACTATTATAAATTATTCTTAAAGTTATAATTAGTTTTTATTGATACAAAAATAGATATTAGCGTTTCAAACGGGACATAAATACCATCTCCGTTAATCTCCTAAACGTGGTTACTTTTTTATTCGGTGGACCCACTTTGTCAGCTCAATACTCCCTATTGCCTTTGTCAATCTCTCTTCTTCTCATCCTTCCCCCTCTCTTCTTTCTTTCCCCACACCAAGCGCCATGTCCAACCCCTCTCGGCTTTGTGGGTCTCGCTCTCATCCTCCTCTCTATCCCCACACTAAGCATATCAAGCACGCCTACGACAACTCCGCTTCACTGTTATTGACTTTTTGGTAGCGAAATGATGACAGTAGAGAATGGCGTCCTTCTGAGAGACCTGATTAATGAGGCGGCAAGCAATGGGTTGAAATTACCGTATATACTAGATTCTAATTATAAGACCTAATTGATTAATTTGAGGAGATTAAGAAAAAATTAAGTTAGTTATTTGTAATAAATAGGTATTGTTCTTCCTAAAATATCCTTACAATCAAATATATTGGCTAGGACTATAATTATTAGAAGGACTGTTTGGAATAAAAATATATAAATATGAGAGACAAAGTGGATTGAGATTTATATTTAAAACTAAAATAAAAGTCAAACAGGATTTTGTATTAAGGATCGGACGTAGTATTGTACTGGTGGTGGTGGGAATCGATAATGAGGGATTAGAAATGAGGACTGATGATGCTTTTGTCATTAAAGCACTCAATTAAACTAGGTCTCAATTAATTTGTAGTTCAGGATCGACCTAGGTCATTACTTTCAAGGAGCAATTTATGGTTTCTTTAGGTAAAAATTTAGGTGATAAAAAAATACAATAAATTGGACCTAAACTAAAATGCAAAATTCTAATTCTAAATGGAAAATGCAAATGTCCTAAAATCTATATGAAAATTAAATTAAACTAAATAAATGTAATGCAATTTTTGGGGGGATTTTTTTTTAAGAAAACAAATTAAAATGATAAATGAAGAAAATTAATCAGGAAGCAAAGAAAATTAACAAGTAAAAAATGAGAAGTTCTCTTCAGGTAAGGTGAAACAACCTTCCTAAATAAACAGATAAACCTATTTTTTTTTTATAGTAACTTGAAGAAATAACTTTTTATAACCAAACCATGCTAAATACAAACTCAAATTATATCACAATCATTTACACTAACTAATTATATAATATTGTTATCCGTGATAGAAAAGAGCAGCACCCAATCATACATACTATCACGGATAAAAGAACTTTTCTTAACTCATTTAAATACAAACTATATAAGAAATGATCAATCTTATCTAATATGGTTATAAAACAACATATAATATAGCTCATAAATCAAAATATTAAAAATTAAATCTTAATTCATACTTTATAATAAATTCATAAATAAAGCACATGCGAATATGCGATCCTAGGCCTCTGGCCACCTATCAGCACACATACCACAATAGTACACTCAAAGGACATAAGAAATAATAGTGCATGAATAAATTAAAACCAATTTATCCTAAGATGGCAATATACAGGATACAACATAACTCATAAATCGAGGAGACGCTACAAGTTACTAATGTAGCTTTACTCCTCCTGAGCCTTCCCTAACGTCCTCTTTTAAAGCTTTCACCTAAAAAATGTTAAATAATAGGAATGAGACAACGTCTCAGTAACTAAATCCCTACCTATTACACACCCTAGCATGGCTAGCGAGATGTCAGGTGGGATACACAGGATTAATAATAATTGATAAACATTTATTTAACATTTAAACTCACAATAATCATATAAGTAAATATTTCCACCACTCTATGCAATTGATACATTCCAAAAGAAATAACATACTTATCATTTATTTAACAGATATAAATATCAATGAATACATGTCATATGCAATTCCTGAACCCAAATCCATCCTTATATCCTCCTTATTTCCGCCGACTGGACCCATGGGCTAAGTTCTTTCCATTTGACTGGCTACTCTGACAAGCTCACCACTCAAGTGATATGGACCGGCCAAAGACCACAGAGCACTCGGTGGACCATGGGTCCCCCCTCGAAGAACTAGTGGGGTGTCGCAGTCCCTCGAAGAACTAGTGGGACAATAATAGTGGCCAACCATAGAGCTCCGTATGGAGGCCGATACCACGTGGTAAGTATATAAATCTCAATAACTCCAATCATCTCCTTCCCCACCCAAAATAGATGTACAGGGTTCAAAATCACAGATTTATATGCATAATCAACAGAATTTCATAATAGCACATCATAATCATGATCACCAATTTCTTGCAATACAAATTATGTCAATCCTTTTTAAAATAGCATCCCACAAGACAGTTCATACAAAACGTAATATACTTTTATAGAATTAGTTATAAAGCCGCTCACCAACTTCATACTAGAGCACGCAACAGATAGAAATTTAGTTACCTGGTCTCCTAGCTAACAGTCAACTATAACCAGAGTCCAACCTCGAAAATGCCACAATAGAGTTTATATCTACAAACAAAATTAAAAATTATCTCTCTATAGTATAGAGTAGGCTACTCACAAAATTCTAGCCTCTAACTCCTCCTCTAAAAGCTTTAATTTTACTCAGAACTCTAGCCTAAAAGACATTTCTCTAAGGTTTGGAATGAGAACACACACACACACATATGATTTAGACTCGATTCCTGAATTTTCCCTTACTTAAATATCCTTTAATTATTAGATTATATTATTAGAATCATCAAATTCATAATGCAAATAGACAATTATAAATTGATAACTTATATTCCATCTTCAAAGGACTTAGACAAATAGACTTAGTACGAACCAGGTTATTCTCACTACAGAAATTAAACCCTTAATCTAACCGTTGAATTTAATTTCCTATATATCATGATACTATCCTCCAAATTGTAGCTCAATCTAACGGTGAATGAACTTTAAATGCTAATTTACTATTCAGGACTCTATCTGCTAAATCCAAAAGATATAAGTTAAAAACGTACCTAATAACTTGTAACTCAGAGATCAAAATGATAATCCAACCGTTGAAATTAACGATTTGGATGTCCCAAATGGGCTGACCAAATTTCAGTCCGATCCAACGGTTAATAAATCAAAACTAGTACTTTTTTGAGACTACCTCAGATATGTGTGAAAATTATTTACTCACTTCAAGCTCCACTCACTATCTCCTATATATAGGCTCCTCAAACTCCTTCACTCTAAAAATTAGTCGATGTGGGACTTCTATACCATGGTATAATTTTGTAGAATACCATCCACACACACACAATCACACACAAAAACATTATTAAATAATAATAATAATAATTTGCTTATATCTAACCTTTCTTTTTTATTAACTTGATATTAAATATATTTATTATAAATTTAATTAAATACTAAGTAAAAATAAGGATGTTACATAAGGTAGAGGGGACAAATTAGGATTTGCATGGATTTAACCTTCATAACCTTAATTAGTTAATTAGACCAAAGGGAAGTGATAAGAGAGTGGAGTTAATAAATTTAATTACCTACTTGAAACAAAGGGAACCCTCAATTTCAAAAACTATTAAACTATTAGAGAACTCATAACAGTATAAGGTTGGTTAATTAAGTTATTAAAACCAATGAAAAATAACTCAATTAATTTTGAAAATTATGTTTCAAATTATCCAATTAAACAATTAGAAAATTAACCAACTTAATTAAACAATTAAGTGGTAAAAGAACCCAAATTTTGCAATTCAAACCACATTGATAATTAAACTCATAATGAAAACTCAATTATAAATTCAATTAACAATGCAAAGGTTTAAACATAAATTCCAACAAGTGTCTCAACACACATAAAATCCAAATATAAATCCAATCTAAACATAAAGATGACAATCTAGAACTAAATTGTCTCACAAAATTACAACTTAAAATTATTTAAAACTAAATAATCTCAAGTCCTTGAATTAAAAAGATAAATGGAACATCACTCCCTTGTGGTCTTCAAGTGCTAGCCCAAGGCTCGAGTCTCTTCCATGCTCCTCTCAAGTTGCCTCCCTAACAAGCTTAAGCCTCCGTCAAAATGCCTCTTCCTCCAAAGTTGTTAGATGCCACGGCCATGAATGATGAGGTGTAGATGAGAAGCTGTGTGTGTAGTGAGAAAGGAGAGGAATTGATTGAAATTGGTGGGTGAATATAGAATGGAATCAATGGATATATGCGAGAGGGCGTGCGGCTTTTTTTTATACGTGGAGTGATGATGGTGACTAGATGGTATATGGTGAATGTGGGATATTGTTGAAAGGAGAGGATTCACGTTTTATGGTCCGTGTGTGCTATGGAGATGGAAAAAGAAAAAAGAGTGATCTTAGGCGTGCTAGAGGGATTATTTTAGGAGAGAAAAGGAAATTTTCTTAGATCCAAAACTCAAGCCCATTAGTAAT